TAGGATACCATGAGGATTGTCATTGGTTTTATTTCAAGTTGAAGAGGAGATATTTTTACGATGTAGTAAGTGACAGTAGAAATATGTCCTACATATGTTGTTGTACTTCGTATTGGTTTAATATTCATGTAGAGTATGAGACACTAAGTGAAAGTTTTCTGAGGTACATCTGCAATTGTCGGAAGGCAAAAAAAATAAGAAATAGTACCGGTCTCCGGTATAGTGCCGGTGAAATTTCTGCGCACACCCCGGCACTAAACAGGGACCTCTACTGTAACAAGAAGACTGTTCGCACGGGCGCGTAGTTGGTTTTGAGTGTGCCATCACGGAAACGGTCTGCCTACTCTGCTGTGTTGGGTACCTTGGTCTCGCTTTGCTGTTGCCTTTGTTTTTGTACGTCTGGCTGTCTGCCTATCTGCCGCCGCTTTGTCCTGTGCTCCGTTACTCCCATGCCCTGGTGCGTAGTGCCTGGTGCTGGTACGTTACGTTACCCTTTGATTTTTTGTTTGGGCGGGTGTGGGAAGCGTCCTCCTTATTATTTTTTTGTTATTTTGATCGGTTTCCGAGGGCTCTTTTCTCGAACGGTCGGTGCGATACCTGTTCTTTTCTTTCTATCATTGTTTTCTATTTCCGAGTGGTTTGTACCCTATTTTTGTTTTGTTTCCCCGCGGCGTCGTATGTGCCGGGTTTTGAGACCACGGGCTCCCCATTTTTTGTGGACTAGACTATAGAGCAGAAACGACAACAACAACAACAACCAAGGCACCGATAGGTGAATGCACACGACGGTAGTCAGAGAGGGAGACGAACGTCCCTAGTTCAGGCTGCTCGACAGGTGATGCAAAATCAGGGCCCCACGTGTGCATGAATTCCTCGGCAATAGAATGTCTCAAATGGGGTGGGCGAAGATGCAAGGGTTCAACTCGGCAGTGCAAACTCCCTGCGAAAGCAGCTTTCTCCCCTGCATCTTCACTTGCAAACTCAAGCGTCTCTGCAAAACAGCCCCTACTGTCCAAGGCCCGGTGTAGAGGTCATGCTGCAGCTTCCGGCCCCGCTTGTCTCGGTGACGACTGCTGTCTGCTTCGCGAATCAAAACCAGGTTGCCTTTCTCTACAGTTACTGACGCCGCGGTCCTCAAAACGTTGGCATTCGACGTGGCCCTTGCTGCTACCCGTAGGTCGTGGCGCTTCTCGAGCACCAACCGAACTTCCCGAAGGTTCTGCTTACTACGCCGTTCAACGAAATGGTCCAAGCCTCCCGAAGGAACTTGGTTTCCCTCCTCTGAAAGCGGCACCAACGAGTCTAGGGAGGTACGGGGTTTACGGCCGAAGCACAGTTCAAACGGGGTCATGTGCGGGTGAACGAAGATGCCTGGCAACGTACGTTTGATCCAGGTAGCCGGCGAAACGTACTCATCCTAACGCATTTGCACAGCTCTGCCAACAACTCTTGCATCCAACCTCCTAGCCTCTGTGCTGCGCCCTGCCCTCGGGCATGATCTACTGCTCCAAAAGTAAGTGTAGCCGCCTGTAGCCACCGGGACAGGTGAGTCACTACTTCTCCTCCAAACTCTTTGCCGCCATCACAACGAATGGTTCTGGGGACGCCGAAAATTAAACAAAGTTCCAACAACGCTCTAGCTACTCCGATTGCTTCCTTGGTCACAAGAGGGAAACCAAAAGGGAATTTAGATGCACGATCTACCACAAGCAGCTATTCTTGTTCGAAGGTCCCACCGAACCCATCGAGATTAGCATCAATCACAATCTGGATAACGCAAGACAGGACAGTTGGCCAACTCAGGCAGTAGAACGCATACGGCTTGGTTCATGTAAGTATACCAATCCAAACCGCCCCCCTGGTGTGACATTCATCCCAAACATGAAAAAAAAAACAAAAGAAAATCAACTGCGACCAGGACCATGTGGCGTTCGATGTCACTCGTCAGGGAACCTATGGGACACCTGGGGCGCCGGTTGGGGCGCTCGCCCACTACCTACACACCCATGCTTGGCAAATGTAATATGTTAGCCCGCGCGTGGCTTTCAAATTGCCTTTCTGTGGGTTCTCTCTCCATCTGTTTCCAGAAATATGCGTTTACTCCTACGCGTCTGGGTGTTGAGATGCCTGGGACACCACGGGGAATTCCTAATGGGACGTCCTTTGCGCGTCAACGGATCGCCGCGTGGGACGTCCCAAGCGCGGTCTCATTCGAAGTCCCACGTGTCGCATGGAACGTCCATGGTTGTCCCATTGACCGTCCGACAGGATCTCCCAATTTTTCAGGACCAGGGAAATACCAGTCTTCAGCACGCAAAAGGTCGTCAGCAACTAGCATAATCAGTGTCGTTCTCCTTCTTCCCCTAGCTCTCTGTCTCGAAAAACAGAACAAATGCTGGCGTTGGGGACGGGGCTACCCCCGGGGCCTGTTACACCGTCTACTCAACCCTCGACGCAAGTGCCTACCCTCTAGAGGGAACCAATTCTCGTTGTATCCTCGGTGTGGTCCTTATCACCATTCGGGCGGGTTTTCAAAGTAGCAACCTCTAGACGATTGACTTTGTCGTGCCAATAGAGGGATTTTCGAGGAGTCGATTAGCCACGTGTGATTTGGTAACCTATGCTCGATGTTGGCGACTACTTACATAAAGAACCTGGTCCTTGACCCGAAACAACAATCAGTTCGTACAGGCGGGTCGGCACTGCTATATTTCGCCGGTGGTGAACAAGTTTGGCAGACGTGTAAACAACGACCCTCGGCATACGCACACGGGGTGGCAGTTTGGTCTTCAGCTACAGTTCTATTGAGACCGTCCATCCCCGCGCTCGCCCCGTGTCCTAGTCGCCAGGAACGTCTAGCTTCCCGCCGTGTAGCCCGTTAGCATGTCCTTCCCTAATTTACATAGTGCGGGGTGTGTCCGGGACCCGGCACACCGCCGCAGCTCGAGGAGGCGTCTAGCACCATCGCTCACTTCGCCCGCACTTTCATCGCCGTCGTACAACAACATTGCTCTCGCAGGGCAACACCGGAACCTATTCTTCGACGGTTTCGGGTGGGGTATCTACTCTCCTTTCGTGGACCTTGTCCCCTTTGATGGTACTCCATAACAGGATGGCCACAACGAGGCGTAGGAAGGCCATGAGCCAAAACGCGAGGCGGAAGTCGATCGGGAACGGGAACGGGGACCCACCATGAGCGATTTCCACAGAGAAAGCGTACAGCGCCGACCAGGCAGCAGGGCCGACCGCGCTGACTACGGAAGCAACGCACGCCGCCAAACCGCTCAGCTCACCGCATCGTTCCAGTTCCGCGGCATGGTTGATGGCGGAAGAAATGCACGTGTAGAACTAGGGGAATGCGCAAGTGCAAAGGTGAGGGACGAAGTATATGTTAGCGTTTGTTGGGTACGTGCGCGTGGTGATTGGTGGGGGGTGAATCTGACTGGAAGGCTTGCAGGTGTTTGGAAACAGGCACGGGACCAGACCCTCAAGCGCGGTTTAGTTTCCCTGTTCGGTCCCTTTCTCCGGGTAGACGTTTCCGCTTCATGACCCCCGATCGACAAAGGCGGAGGCTGTTGCTGCTGCTCCAGGTTACCGCATCACAAGATCGTCACTTTGACCACTCCCCGCATCACTGGCGCATTGATTTTAAGCAGAAGACCCACGGAAGCAATCATGAGCAGGGGGCCGGTGTTGAGCAGGAATCCGGGCACGGGAACGAGGGGAGAGACAAGCACCAGAGTCACCGATGACAGCCTCTGTGAGGTAGTTACACCCAGCCGCTTGGTGCCAAGAGGCACAGCGAACAGCTCGAACACGAAAACCATGAGCCTAGGAGCAAGAAGGACCTGTGACGCTCAGGAACCCAAACCAAATGTAGGCACGAGGAAAGATCGGCGTAAAACGACACCCGCGGCAGCCTCCACGATGAAACGCGATAGGAGGTTAAGCAAGGTGAATTGAATACTCCGTTATGTCGTCCCCCCGCCTCTGGTGCCTTCCCGTCAATCTTCTGTGACATCTGTGAAAGAATCAAGACCATGTGCTCCCCTATTCTCGATTGCCTACCGGCGAAAGGTGCACGCCGGACATTGACGTTCTCCCTCTAACATTTGCCGCACAAGGTAGAGAAGCTGCTCGTTAGCTGCCATCCAGCAGGACAATGGCACGTACCATCTGGGTACTCCCCTTCGTGATTCCTGTCGGTCCATGTTCGCCTCGAGATCCAGTGCAGTACATGGCCGGAAGAGCTACCTATTCGCCAAGGTTTGAAAACTCTTGGCACAACACCACTTCAAACCAGGGAAACCACAGTGCGCCAATTCCTTCAACTTTAAGCGATGAAGGAACATCAGACAATGTTCGTGGGACATAGACTACCAACACAAGATTATCCACCTGTCCGATTTGTTCCGCCGACCCTTCCAAGCCCCCCGCGGGAGTCGTGCTGAGCGCCCACAGCGCGAATAGGTCTAGGAACCCAGAGATAATACACTTCGAGGCGACGAACAGACAGAGGAGAGAAGGAGTTACGTATCACTTTGTTTCATGCCGCCGGAGGCAACATATGGAATCTCCCCGCCGACCCCTCCGTATTGTGGCAAAATCACCACCCACCATGTAAGTTCCGTAGATTATCAGGAGGACGCGGACGTGACCCGCGCCCAGCAAACTCCCACGATTGAAGGGCTCCACGTCGGTCCAGGTGCTGCAGCTTGTCGCGCATTCGCCTTGTCCTTCCTCCAGCAACGAGTGGCGCCCCCGGGACACTTCGGTCCCGTTTGTTGACGACGTACTTCCGCTACAGCTTTTGCTTCTTTCTTCTCCGGCGGCCGAACAGGAGCCGGACTCTTTGTCTTTCCCGAGAGGGGGCACAGCCAAGCTGGTGCTGATTGCGTTGAAAAATAAAAAACGCAAGGTGACGTGGGCACCGGTGGCTGAGAGGTTCCTGTAAGAACGCGTCTTGAGAACATCTACGAAAAAGATCGGCGGCCCTATGCCGAACCCTATTGGTGGGTGGGTGAGGTGGGGGAGTACGGGCACAAAGACTGGCGTTCGCGACATCGGTCGGCATGGACGCGTGATCCTGGAAATCATCCAGTTTAAGCTACCAGCGCGGTATCTTTAGGACTGCCCACCTGCACGTGGTTGGTGTCTTGCGTTCAGGTTCGTGCACATCGTACGGAGTGCGCATAGCCCAGAGGCAGCACCATGTGTCTCACCGGCACAATATTGGCGACATTTTTCTACCCTCACCGCTACATCGCTGTGCGTTCGTGATCATTCTGACAAGACGTCAAGGAGGCGGCACAGATTTCGGCACCACGAACTGGATGGAAGAATCAAAAACCCCGATTCCTGAGGTTGGACCCCACCAAGCTGAAATGAAGAAGGAAATAGAACCGACAGGCTGGCTTACAGTCACAATGCACATTTTTGAATTGTAGCGACCGCGAGAACTGGAATAAAACACTGACGCGCGGTATGGCAGCGCTCCTGTTTTTGAGGTGGTAGATGTGAGGTTTTCTCAGCACTTTCAACAGGGAGCCAGCCGTTCGTCTCCGGCAGGAACAAGAACACCAGCGGAATTGAACATAGCGCCAGCCCGGCCCCGACGAGGTTATGAAGAAGGTACGGAAACCTGACGAGCGTCAGGCCAAACGTAGGTCGGCCGAAAATGTAGCGAACGGGAATCCCAACCCAACCTATTTGGTTCAGCAGTGGGTGTGAGTGTATGCACGCACACACATTTCTGCTTCCCTCGTTCCCATGAATGACTGTTGTTCAGCCACCTCTTCCGGTGTTAAGCACCGCCATTGTGTTGTGGGGGTGGATCGGAGATGTCATGACTGTAGCAACGGAATCACCAGGAGGAGTTTTTACCAATAGCGCATGCAACAGCTCCCTGGGTAATGCTTGCGGCAAGAATCCCGGTAGGGGGCATACTTGATGACGGTATACAGCGCATGCGACGAAACTTTCCGTAGGCTCATCTCTTCGTTTCGCCAGGGGCCACGTCGGTTGTAAGACTACACTCGGCCCGATATTTCAGAGAGTCTGAACGACACAACAATATTCCCGGGGGTATGCAGCAGCTTCGATGTTGCCAGAAGGATGGACGGGGGAGGAATGCCCCACGGCATTCCCCGGTATTTGTCGTCCACTGCGGTGTGGGCCGTGTGTCGCTCTGGAAAGAAGCACGCTATGCTACGGAGCGGAGGGGGCAAGCTTACCCAACTAGCCCCCCAAGATATAGTTGCCGATACATATCGCGTGGGGAGCTTACTGAAGGCACGTTTTGGGGGGGTTGTATGACTCTCAACATTTTGACGCTCACGCACCTCCCGAATACGCCAGTCTACGTGAAAATCGAAGGGTAGCGATCCGCCGGCTCCGCAAGAATACCGCAAAGTCCAGAGCCCAACAGTGCACCGAGAGACCAGGCCGCTGAACGAATGAGTTTGATTAACTTGTTGGTTTCCATACACCAAATAGTCTAGCTGGCTCTTGGTTGGCCTCGATCTCCGACATTTCGAGATTTGTTTGTTTGACGGCGCTTGCAACAAGCTTCTTCGACTTGAGAGCGACGTGTCGTCGTCGGTGGGTAGCTTTCGCATGATGAAACCCTCTCAACACATCATGGTGTCCTGATAGTAGTGTAGTGCCCATCAAGCTCCCGCATCTTCTGATGTCGACATATCTCGGTGTTATGAGGAACAACAAAGTTCGCCATGAAGGGCTTCGATATTTAGTGTGTACCACAGACTCTCGTTGAAGACTTTGCATTTACCGTGTCGTATTCAAGTATCGTTGTTTTGGGGATGCCAATTCAAGTGAATCGCTCGTCGTGTTGGCAGACCAGTGTCGGTTGTGATCCACACATCAACAAACGACCTTGAGGACACATCGAAACCCACGGCACAAAGGCCGCGCAAGCACAGACGATATAAGGCGGATCACCGAACAACCCAGTTGGCTCCGTAGTTCGACGTAGATGTTACGATGCATCAGGTGTCGGTACCACGCTGTACCACGCCTACAAGCGACAGGCTCACTTGTCATTGCTCCTAACCCGACGACTTCATGCTCCTTGCCGCAGATTTCCGAGACGAGTGTTGGAAAAATTACCGCCATTCTGTTCAGCAGCCCCAGCAAAAATCTGGCCACGTGTGAGCGATGCACCGGGGCCGCCATTGTCATCGTCGATGATTCCGTGCATTCAACGACCGTTACACCCATCGTGTGGACTACCAACTCGCATTGTACAACCAAGGCAGTGTGCGATGAAAAACTTGCATGCTACCGAATCCTAGAGCCATGCCACCGGAATCCTAGAGCCAGCCTAGCGATTGCGGAGTCATCACTTCAAGTTCTACAACACAGGTTTGTTGGACGAGCCAGTGCGTACCCAACGAGGCACAACAGAGGGACCAAGCCTGCTAAATGGTGGTTTGCAACGCACGAACGCCGATCAAGATCGATAAAATGTACCACCGGAACGTCTACGAATTATGAATGAATGGTGTCGGTCCTCTCGTCACGCAGAGTTACTCCTACATCAAAGAAAATTAATGCCAACCTGTTCCCAGCCGCTTACAAATGCGTTCAAGGTCAGAATCTTCCGAAGCTTCCTCAAGGATACTCAGGGCACTTCGCTGGTGTGCTGTCTTCCAAATTCATGGCAGGTCGTGTGATCTCGGCACAGTTCTGGGGGATCATTGCCGATCGGTGCGGCCGTCGCTCAGTTGTCTTGTTCTCGCTGGCATCTACGGGAGTGCTTGCCGTGGCCTTCGGGTTTCCTGCAACGTTCTTGTGCACGCTACTCTACTCGAAGAACCAGAGAGCAGACCGCTTTCATAACACACAGCGTGGTGAACGACTATGTCTGGTTCATTCAAGATTCGAGAGATCTGACTAACTTTTTCAAAACGTAGAAACTCTTTAGCAGCTGGATGTCCACGAGATCGAGGCCAGACAGGGTTGAAGCGCCTACCTGCAAGCAAGGGACCACAAGAACGTTGTTGAAAACCCGAACGCCACGGCAAGCACTCCCGTAGATGCCAGCGAGAACAGGACGACTGGGCGACGGCCACACCGATCGGTAATCATCCACCACAACTATGCCGAGATCACATCATCGGCCATGACGCTGGAAGGCAGCAGACCAGCGGAGTACCCTGAGGAAATTTCGGCGTCGACACAAGCAAAAATAACAGGTCAGGAATGGCTCCATGAAATTCATCCGGCCATGTTAATGCTGTGAATGTACACAGGAGAAGCGGAGGAAGCTTCCGGAAAACAGGATGAACCAGTCGCTACGAAATCTCCGTTTACGCGATTCTTCCCCATTCATTTACTATGCAAAGAAAGGACCAAGTAGTAACGTTTTTTTGTGGGTGGAGTTTGGAAACAGCCATGATTTGCAAGCATCACAGTGTGGCGAAAGTGAGAGAGCAGTCGAAACCCGTGGGAGGTCTTCCTTCTCTTTGACCTAGGTGGTGCATCCGAAGCAACGTGTCACCGAGACTTAGGAAGCGTTTTTTCAGAACCGATGGGGCAATCGTTTTCCCTCCGTTCTTTTGGACTAGTGCCGTTGGGTCCGTGCAAGAGCTTCTTGCGTTACCCGTGGAGGTGTGCGTGTATCGCTTATGGTTTACTTGCAAAGAAAAAGTTTATTGGCTGAGGATTCCGAGCGATGCCTTCGAAAATTGGTCTCCTTCCGCGGGGCATACTTTTTCCGCTGGTTCTTGCGTTTGTCATCGGTCATTTAACTAACGTCGTGGGTGCACGAGATGGCTACCGAACGAACTATCTTGTGAAGCTTGTGCTCCCCACAAGTTGAGATAACATTGTATGCTGATCGGGGAATCGTAGGACGCAGGCACTTTAGTCCTGTAGTGCTTCCGCTAACACAATAGGTTTTTGTTGCGAATGCTGGATCTAGCATCTATCCATTGAGATGGATGGAGTCGTAATGTTACAGCACCCATGCATCGCCTCCCCCGCCCCAAATTGGCGGGGGGGGCATAAGGTCATAGAGGTCGAATATAGGTCTGCGAGAACGGCCGACGACGTGTGCTGCGCGGCTACGGTGGATGCTGTCAATCATTTCGTTCGGGACCCTCCACCATTAAATTTCGTGGGTAATGCAAAGTTCGTGTTCAAAGCATTCGTCCTGGACTATACAACCAAGACGCGCGTCACCAAGCAATCCTGCATTCGGTGCGGCAACAGTCGAAACAGTTATTCTTGCCGGTAGTTTGACACAGCAACGATTGTAACATGTACAGGAGGACTGGACTGCGGGAAGAAGAAAACAAATGTGACACGAGAAACGAAGAGAAGAGGAGAAACACGATCACTTCGCCCCCATGAGGATGCAACAACCGAAGCAAGAATCAATATTTTGCGTGCATGAACGAATTACACTGAAAACGTCTAGACTCTGTGCGGTATGTCTGGACGTACTACATGTTCCTTCAGACAATCAGCAGATTATCATCTCTGGACACTGGGAAAACGATCGACAATACGGAACATGTCAGGACTCGAACGTGTGTGAGATCGCTTCGTTCGTTCGGTGGATGGCACCGTAAAAACTACCGCACCTGGTATACTTTTAAAGGTTTTAACAAGTTATATGCATGTACTATTGAGAATTTCGTCAGAAAGTGTGTCCCGAGATATTGGCATCCTGAATAGTGGAAGCCCAATGTAGTGGCATCTAAATCTCTTGTCACAATCTCAAAAATTATGGATGTATGGACCCGACAGTATATCGAGTGCATAGTGGTAATGCCTTGCACTGCCTTGAATATTTCAGTGCCGTAAACTACGGCATTTTCCCCCCGGGGAGGGGATGTTGTTTTTTTCTGAAACCAACCCCCCCGGGGGAAAATTGACGTACCGCGGGGGGTTGGTGTTTTTTTTTTTCCAACGCTATCCCGGGGGGAAGCCCCCCCCTGGGTGGTTGTGCGAAATATTGATGGTCCACACACCACACACACGGAGAGAGTAGCGAAACTGGGATGAATATGGTTTACGAGCAAGCAATCAACAAGCAGAGGGACGAGGAACTGTTTTTTTTTAGTTCATTAGCTGTAGAGTGGGTACAGGTTGAGGCAAGCGTGGCGAGCATATGGCAGACGGTGCGGGTGTTTTTGTCGGGTCGCAAGAGAGGTACCATTGCCTAAGCTCATGCACAAGAATTCGGAGTTTGTCCGCAGGAACAAGCAATTTTATGGTTTGGTTCTACCTTGAATTGCGAGATTCAGAAATGAATACGATTATTTCCCCCCGTCCCCCCCGGTGTTTACCATCGGGGTTGGGTTTTCGTCGCTTGGCAACGACGTTGTAAAACAAGCCGCCGCCCCCCCTGGTGTTTGCCATCGGGGTTCGGTTTTCGTCGCTCGGCGATGACGTTGTAAAACAAGCCGCCCCCCCCGGTGTCCCCTCCTCCGGTGTTTGCCATCGGGGTTGGGTTTTCGTCGCTTGGCAACGACGTTGTAAAACAAGCCGCCGCCCCCCCTGGTGTTTGCCATCGGGGTTCGGTTTTCGTCGCTCGGCGATGACGTTGTAAAACAAGCCGCCCCCCCCGGTGTCCCCTCCTCCGGTGTTTGCCATCGGGGTTGGGTTTTCGTCGCTTGGCAACGACGTTGTAAAACAAGCCAAGTCACTTCGTGAACTCGGCAACCAGGTTACCGTTTTTGTTTTTCTCCCCTGTTTTTTTTTTGGCGGTAACCATAATGGTGGTCGAGTAGATCATGTTATGCGGGGTGGAGAAGCCTCACTCCGCACAAGCGGGATGATCGCACCACGTTGTGCAACAATGGTCAAGCACCCTCGAGGTAGTTACACGACAGTGCTTACAGCTGTCTCTGGAAGTGAAGTACCAGAAAATAAATTAAGTCATACGCAGCTGTCATCCGTACGCAAGGAAGTAAGCACAAGATG